GTTTCGGATACACCAAGGGTTCTGGTAAACAGGAATCATAGAATCATAGAATTATAGAATCACAGAATCACAGAATCATAGAATCATAGAATCACAGAATCACAGAATCATAGAATCATAGAATGGCCTGGGTTGAAAAGGACCACAAAGATCATCTAGTTCCAACCCCCCCTGCTATGCGCAGGGTCACCAACCACCAGACCAGGCTGCCCAATTAATGTCTCCATTGGCTCCAGCTCTGTCTAATAAATGGTGTATCCTTATGTATCCTACATATCTAAATGGCATATCCTATGGTATCTCCATTTGACCACAAAGTCACAGGTGAAATAGTCTATGAAATCATGACTGGCCAGGACTGCAGAATTCACTGTCTGAGAGATGCTTCAATTAAACATGCTGCCTTGGCAGGTCTGCTTCACAGATTGACACTCCACACCCCCATTGGTGAAAGCCTCACCACCACTGGTATCCTGGGGCTCCACTGGGCACCTGCAGCACTGAAAGAACATACAATTTTAGGCTGAGCCAAAGGTCTGAGATGGATTCATGGATTGCTTCTGTCCTGCAACCTCTGCAGAGCAGTGTCCATTTTAGAATGAGGTGCCCTTTCCTGGCTTTTCCATATGCACTGACTGCAGAACAGGAAAAATTGCTTTGATTGATCTATTGCCCACACGTTGAGAATGCAGTCAGTTTACTTCTTTTTTTTATTATTATTATTATTTTTTATTCTTCCTGGAAATGAATGAAACAAGAACTTTTCATGCTGGAGCTTGCAGCTTTGTCTGGTTTTGTTCATCACTGCATTTGTTCCTAAAGCAAAGACTGAATATCTGTGTCCCTTTGGGAAGTCAAGGACTGACTGTGTATTGGAGCAAACAAACTACCAAACAGAATTGGCTTCTTACATGCTTTGTTTTCATTTTCTTGTTGATAACACGGGCAAGCTCTCACAATGTAGTTTCCAGACAGAGCTGAAGGACAGATTTCTGATATATTCAGCAAGACAACACCAAAGAGCCGACACTTTCCTCCAGCAAAGGGTCCGCAATTCTGCTTTGAGCTGTGTTTCAGAAGACAGGAATTCAAAATGTTTACACAAACCTTGAAGTGCTGCAGATTGGTACTACAGAAAACATCGCCGTGCACTCAGCCTGCCTGCTTTCCAGGCAGAAACAGACTCCCCAGTGTTTCCCTGATGTGAAAACACATTCTGTTTCATTTTAGCCACCTCAGAAGGAAACCCAAATAACGGTGGCAGAAACGAAGTGATGTTTGTAGGTAGAAGTAATATCTTTTCTAAGAGCATCTTGGTGGGGAAAAAAAATAATACAGATAAGCCCTGGGCAGTAAAGAAAAGCCTTTGTCCTATAGCTGAAAGCTTATTTAATTTTCCAGCTACATTATTACGACCTACAAACCTCAGCTTGTCTGTTTGTGTTTAGACTGTTCCAGCTGCAGAATATGGCCTTGAGAGCAACACTGTCCAATCATGGTATGCAAGAATTACAGAATCATTGAATGGCTTGGGTTGGAAGGAACTTCAAGGATCATGAGGCTCAAACCACTCCAACACAGGCAGGGCCACCAACCTCCACATTTCATAGCAGACCAGGCTGCCCAGGGCCCCATCCAACCTGGCCTTGAACACCTCCAGGGATGGACGGGGCATCCACAGCCTCTCTGGGCAGCAGTTCCAGCACCTCACTACTCTCATAGTAAAGAACTTCCCTCTGACATCCAACCTAAATTTTCCCTCCTTCAACTTCAAACCATTTTCTGCTATTATCTACCCTTGTAAAGAGTTAAATAAGTGTTGAATAAGAAAGATGGTGGCTGAAAAATCACTCCTGATCATCAGACGTTTACATTGACATCACTGGGCTTGTGCCTTTTCAATACAATTTAGGTGAGCTGAATTTAAATAACTTCTGAAATCATATTTGTTACGTAAAACGGTTTTTTCCCCCCTATTTCCTGACATTATTTGTCATTCGTTGCAATATGATGCAGAATCACAGAGCACTATAATTGATATGAGTTTCCAACAATGTGAATTTTGATTTTAATGAGAGAGAGATGTACTCCTAGGTCTGTGACTGGGATTTCTTGTGAGGAACACATGAATCTGCAAACAGGGAGTTCAGCAAGTTGGTCCAGCAACACAGCTGGGATGAACCAAGGGAAAAAAGCAAGCCCAGGAATGACACCCTCTATCCCTCCATTGAGGTGACCTCGAAGTTTCTGCAGAGATTTGAGCCTCCATCCCCGAAGAATTAGAGCATAAACTCAGCCTGACAATTCATCCCAGAACCTACCCTGTAGTTATAACATCAGGAAGGATGTTGAGTACTCACTAAGCCATACAGAACCTCCCTCCCAGAGGTGTCAGGCTACAATGCACAGCTCAAAATGCTTTATGAGCTGAGATTTGGGTTTTACTGTTACACTGGAGCAGTTCAAAAGAAGCAATTTGTTCTGTGGCTTAATGCATTTAGCAACGGAGGTGCGGCACATTTATTGTGGCAGAAAAACAACCTCAGCCCCCCTACCCTTTGAAGCACAAAGAAAGCAAATGAAAGGCAAAGAAGTGAGCACCTACGGTAGCAAAATCTTATTAGTGGAGGGAACGTAAAAATCGATCATTCTGACCTATGCAGCAGCTGAGGATGTGGAAGCAGGAAACCCTGGAGACGTTACAGAGAGCCAGCGAGCCTGAACAATCTTCTTTGTTTGTTGCTAATGAACCATGGTGCTTTTTAATAATATATAAGCCATTTAAAAGGACTTGATAGGAAGCTCAGGAAAGTAAGCTGAGGCATTTCTACCTGGAGCGAGGTCAGAAAACACTGATTTTTTTTTAATTTTTTTTATTTTTTTTTATGGTAGAAAGGGGGAACAGTGAACTTCAGCCAACTACAAGAGTAAAATCACAGGGGTTCCCAGAGAGTCTGATAGTTGGATCCCCAAAGTACTGTTTTCTGGCAGACTGCTCTCCTAGAGAATGTATCATCAGCCAGGATACCTAGAAACACCACAAGAGAGGCCCCAGATTCCTTGGGTCTCTGGTACTTTTATCAAGAAATACAGGGTTTCTATTTGTAGGCAAAGCCCAGCAGGTACCCAAGGATTCCTTGATGTCATTGCCATAGTTTCCAGGCTTTTTCCAGGCTTTCAGCCACAGGTTGTGTAAGCCATGAGGTCACGCAGATTCATAAAGATTGGAAAAGACCACTAAGATCATCTAGTCCAACCATTAGCCCATCAAACTACAACAAGTCTTGGTTTCCAGACCCTAATAAGGAACTTGGAAGTCCTGAGATCATCAGCTTGGAGTCAAGGAACTTAGAAACTCTCACAATGAGCAAATAAAATGGGAAATTTTGGCAATTTTACCACTGTCATTAGTTGATTTTGATAACAGGGAACCTGCCAAGTCTGGCATTCCTCAAAGATCTGGAATTCATTTAAAAAAAAAATAATAATACATTTTTGGACTCACTGTAGTTCTTTGCAATATTTTCATGGGATTTCACACTTGTGGGAAAGAAAGGAAAAGAAGAGATAAGGAATTAATGAAAGGGAAGAAAAAGAAAGAAAGGAAGGAAGGAAGGAAGGAAGGAAGGAAGGAAGGAAGGAAGGAAGGAAGGAAGGAAGGAAGGAAAAGAAGGAGAAGGGGAAAAGGAGAGAAAGAGAGAAGAAAGGGAAGGGAAGGGAAGGGAAGGGAAGGGAAGGGAAGGGAAGGGAAGGGAAGGGAAGGGAAGGGAAGGGAAGGGAAGGGAAGGGAAGGGAAGGGAAGGGAAGGGAAGGGAAAGGGAAACAATAGAAGATTTGGTCTGTAAAAATCAAAATGAAACATCTACAGGATAAAAATCCCACTTTTTGATCCTTCTGGCTTTATTTGATCACAGAGGGCTTGGACAGATGCTGGTACATCTCAGTAGGGCTCCACACAAGCTTAGGAAAGAAGACCCTACATCCATAATGAATATACATACACAGCTGTGTTAATAACATTAAACTTTCAGTGCTCCAACTGCAGGGATGCAAGAACAGGGATCAGGAATGGAAAAAAAACCCCACACATTAGGAATAGGGATGAAGAATAGGCGAGCAACAAAACAATGTGAAATATCTGTAGAAATGTAGTATCCTTTTTTCTTTTTACAATCAGTTTCCAGAGCAGACAGAAATGGATCTTTTGTCTGTAGTTACTGCTGGTCCTTCCCATTCCTCATCTACTACTGAGGGTGTTTGGTTCACATAAAACTCCAGCAGTCTTCTCACCTGATATTCCCTTCTAGCCTAAAGAAGGACGTTGGGATGACAGCTTATCAAGCAGTGAAGATTCTGAAGAGGATCATGAAAGAGAGTCCATCTATTGGGACAGGATCATAAAATGATAGAATCATAGGATCTTTGGGACAGGACATGGCAGTGGTAGGTCAATGGTTGGAGCAGATGATCTCAGTGCTCTTTTCCAACCTTACCAGCATTTGCACTGTTTTGATTTGTGTTTCTTCCAGCATTGACACAACAGTGCCTTCACCCTTGATGAGAGAAGCCAAAGCACTGAGACATGAGGGTAAATTATTCACTGTGGATGGGTTCTTCCATGTGTCACGGGCAGAAACACAAGCAGGACACGTTATTTTTTCCTCTGTCTTCTCCACGAAGCAGTTGGCACCTCACAGTGCCAATGGGTTTGGTGGTTCCCCAAAACACACTCAGAGGATCACACCACCAGCATCGGGTCAGCTCGATTTCACATCACAGCAAATAATTCCATTATCTAAAACCCAAAACGGCAACGGCCAGCTGCTCCTCGGCGGGGAACGGCGTTCGAGCCCGTTCCCTTTACTCGTTCTCATCAGCCACATCAGCGCCGCCATTACAGCCCGCCCCCCCCACCAGCGTGGAACTACAACTCCCATCATGCCCCGCGCGGCCATCCCCATGGGAGGAGACGGAAAGGCGCCGCGGGGGCTGCTGGGATTTGTAGCCCTGACCGTGACGGAGCGGCGGTGATTGCGAACGTGCAGCGGGCGGAGAGCGAACTACCGGCGGCCGGGAGGAAGCGGGGGTGGTGGGGCCGACAGCGGGGCAGAGGCCCGGGTACGGGATGAGGTGGAGGCCCGGGAAGGCCGCTTCGTTGCTTGGGGTTGCGCTATGCACCCGGCCTTGGCGGTGTGTTTGGTGTTCTGCGGCTGCTGCAGCAACGTGGTGTTCCTGGAGCTGCTGGTCAGGTGAGGG